ACTATCTAGACCAGGATGGCTATGAACCAGGAAATCCTCCTGCCCCTGCCTCCCAAGTGCTGGGACTAAAGGCATGTGCCACCACTGCCCAGCACGTGAGTTTGTGGGGTTTTTTTTTTTTGTTTTTTTGTTTTTTTTTTTTTTTTTTGGTTTTTCGAGACAGGGTTTCTCTGTGTAGCTTTGCGCCTTTCCTGGAACTCACTTGGTAGTCCAGGCTGGCCTCGAACTCACAGAGATCCGCCTGGCTCTGCCTCCCGAGTGCTGGGATTAAAGGCGTGCGCCACCACCGCCCGGCGAGTTTGTGTTTTTAAGCACCTTTTTTTTTTTTTTTTTTTACAAGTTGTTTTTCTTTTTTCTATCAAAGTCACACAATTTGGAGCAAAGATAAGAAGTGAGGCAAAGTGGCTTTGGGAATCAATACCATCAAAATGGCTGAGCCTGAGAAATAGATGACAGCTGGGAGCGTGACGGTTGATGGATATTAGAATGATTCAAGAATGTATTCAAAAGACCACAGTCAGTATGCAGAACAAAAAGTTACCAGGTTTGTAGAAGAAACCCTAAGAGATCTCAGAAACCAAGGAGAGCGTGGACATATTTCAAGAAGCAGCAGAACAGCGAGCGGGAGATATGATGTGTGTGAGAGCTGAAGGACGTCTATTAGATGTGGATCGGGGAGACCTCTGAACAATGAGGGCCTTGACCATCGCTGAGGAAGAAAGCAGGGCTTGCATCAGCTAAGCTCTTTTCTAAAACTGAGCTCTGGATCCTTAAAACTCGACGGTAACTAAAGACATTTGGATTGAGGAAAGGGACTTTTTCCAGCAGACACAGACCCAGCATGGATCCTGGCATAAGGAAACAGAAACCAGCACAAGGTTGGGTGGAGCTCAGGGCAATTCTTGATTAATGGCCAATGTAAAGAAAACTCAGCAAGAAGCCAAGTGACAGAACACAGGGAAATTTGCAGGGAAAGTACTGTTGGGACTCATAACTATTGCAAAACCATTACTTGGTCTCAGTCACACACACACACACACACACACACACACACACACACACACACACAGCAGAAAAAGATCAATTTTAAAGATAACTTGTCATCATATAGACTTCTTGAATATTTTTTCAACCACTTCACCCCTCTCCATACACAATATTTCACAGCTTATCTTCAGTGATGGTAAAAGTGAACTGGGTCCAATGAAAAGTTGACTTTAAACTTTTATATGTTTTTACAGGGTAGTGAAGAGCAGCAGTGGCCTGAAAACCCTCTGAACTGTACTGGCTAGACCTCTAGTCTAGTATTTGTTCAAGTCTTATTTTGTTATAACCCAAGCTTCACTATCCAACTAATCAGCGTACAAAATGGCAATTTTTCTTTTAGTTTGTGTTCACTGAACCAGCTTGAAGATGATAAAGCCACAAACTGGAACTTGTAAGAATCAACTCATTCAGTCTTAAAGTGAATCCCTCATTTATGGGCATGAGATTTCCTATGGGTTGTGTTTAACAAGAATGGTAGGACAGGGTGTGGGATTTATTCATTGATGAAAGTCCCTTGAAATTCCCTGTCATTTCATCAACCCTTAGGAGCTCAGATGTGCATAAATGTTTGCGAAATCTAGAAGAAGACAGCCTGAGTTATTCTCAAAAAAGAACACATTGGACTCTCATTCCTAAGGCAGGAGGTTTACAGGTGTAAGATTTAACTTGTTTTCAATAGTTTTCTAAAACTCCTGCTCTATTTTCTTATATCAGTGCCATAGTCCATATTGGCGTCTAGCACTAGATCTGTGGATCCCATTCTTTCTACATCCACACATCTTTAGCAAGTTGAGAAATAACCAAAGCTATAGTGCAAGACTCGAGGTTAATCAGTAACTTCACACAGGAAATATGATGTTGGTTTATATATGACATTAAAGATTAGTGTGCCAAACTTCTTAGCCAATGTGCTAGAAATTTGTTGTCAATGACTTGCTTGCTTTTTTTTTCTCGAAGAGAAATAGCTCTGATTAGTTCCACGTAGACACAGTACATTCATGCTTCAGGAAATATCAAAATCACATCGACTCAATCATTGGTATTCTGTCAGAATTGGCAATTTCTAGATAATACATCACTTTGTTCCAACTTGTTGTGTTGTAACATAATCTCTGATTAAGTATGCATTTAGACACCATAATGAACTTAAATGAAAATATATGGATGAATGATGTCTTAAATGTTAAAATAGATACCTCCATGCTCAAAAATTGGAGGTGACAGGACAGTGATTCAAAGGCAGTGTAAGGAATCTGTGGTAACATAGTCCTATTATCCGGACACTTGGGATGGGGACAAGGTCATCTTTGGCTACATAATGAGTTCCAGGCAAGTCTGGATTACTTGAGACTCATCCTTAAAATTAAAAACAGTGCAGCAGGCAAGGTAATAGAGAGAAAGTGACTGCTCAGAGTCACTCCAAGGGGCTGTATTCATGGGAGAAGGGGTTCTTCTCAGGCACTAAGGCAGTATTTCAATGTTCTACCACCTTGGTTGTTTGGTTTTTATCTGATGGGATATCTATGTAGGTCTCCTATCTAGATGAATAGGCAAAGACCTTATTATTTTACTGAGAAATAGTTCTTCAGGGCAAGTTGGTTGTGTTTTTTCCTCCTGGGACTATCTGTGCAAGAAGCTCAGGTTACTAAGGGTCAAACTCCTGAAGGTCTGAGTCTTCAAATTAAAGAGTGGTGTAACGTGAATCTTAAAAGGTCTTATTAATAAAAACAAACCCAGGAGCCAGATATTGGGGTGAACACTGAAAGATCAGAGAAGCAGAACAAGCCACAGCCAACCTCACATCTCCACTGCCTCAACTGATCTTGTTTCCTCAAACTGGAAGCCTCTGTGTCCTCATCCAAATTGATCTCAGCTGAACTGCTGCTAAAAGCCTAAAAGCTTAACCAGGCCCTAGTTCCTGGTCTTCATGCCTTATATACCTTTCTGCTTCCTGCCATCACTTCCTGGGATTAAAGGCATGTGTCACCATGCCCGGCTATTTCCAGTGTGGCTTTGAACTCACAGAGATCTGAATGGATCTCTGCCTCCAGAATGCTAAGATTAAAGGTGCGTGTGCCGCCATTTTCTGGCCTCAGTGTCTATCTAGTGGCTGTTCTGTTCTCTGACCCCAGATAAGTTTATTAGGGTGCACAATATATTGGAGAACACAATATCACCACAGAGTGGAATTCTCTATAGTCACGTCATATGACCCTAAGGTAGATTGCATCCAGGGCTTGTTAGGGCCAGCGCTTCAGTCCTGCTCGGAAGGCAGCAGGGTCCTTGCTCTGATCCCAACCTACCTAGAGTCAAAAATCAACCTTGTTCTGAGGTTAGAGTAACTCAGCATGACTATCCATTGCAGAACGATAGCCACAAAACTTTCTATTCAAAAACACATATATACGTGATTTTTTAAAATAATAGATCCATTGTCCTTATAAAATCAGCAAGGCATCATGAGGCTTGAGAAGTGTGGGACTGAGTTTGAATAGACATTTGCTGTTAATGTCCTCGTGTATCGATTCACTAGATGTCACTAAGGACAGTTTGCACGGAGAATCTGTGATAAAATGGCAGAGTTCTATGCTGCTGGCTTTTATTGCTTAGCACTTTTACTTTATCAGTTCCCTTGTATTCACTGTGCTCTCTAGACCTCGAATTCTTCACTGAGAACCATGGTTGACTTCATTGGATACACAGCCTCTGAAGATGGTAACAGAAATTGTGTGCACTCGAACTAAATTTTATGTACTGCATCACATGAATGGGCACGTGGCTAACATCATTAGTAGCAGTGGAATAAAGAGCCCTTCACCACAATGTAAGCTGAAAAGGATAGCCTTCCTACCCAAACCATAAAAAGATACAGTAATACTCAATTCCGGGCCAACCTTCTGCTTCGTTTTCTGTTACAAGAAAGTTTCACATTGTAACTTTAATCTTATCAGAAATTCCTAAAGTAAACAAAATAGCAGGGAATGAGAAACCTTGATTGTGTAACTTCTGCTTTTGCTGGCTAGGAAATACCAGCTATCGTTTTTCTGAAAACCCACCCCCAAATAACCATGACTGCCTGCCGCCTATTCACAGGTCTCCAAGTTTTGATCTCGTTAGAGGTACTCTTTGACAACCGCTTCTGGCTTATTGTCATCATATACTAACTACTATTGCTTGTATGTTCCCAATTCTCCATGAAAAAGAGACAAAAATCCTGCTTCCAAGAAACTTCAGAAACGCCCCTGCGATTGGGTTCTGCCAAGGCAAGAGGGCATTTTCCTCTCCCCCCCCCCTGCCAAGCCCCCCTTGCCTTTCCGACCCACGCTCACCCACCCACCCAGCCCAGAACCACGTGTGCGCGCGCCCTGGCCCTGGCCATACAGAGGCGCGGAGCGGGACACCGCCTTCCTGGGGCTCCGGCGCGCGGCCGCGGCTCGCGCTCCGGGCGGGGGTCGCGAGCACGAGGGAGGGGCGGGGCGGGGGCGGCCTATGGCCCCGCCTCTCGCCCCGCCCCTCCGCCCATCGCCCCCCCCCTCCGCCCCTACTCAGAGGGGCGCCCACGTGCCCAGCCCGCCTTCTGCAGCGCGGCGGCGGGAGCGTCTGTCTGCGCCGACCTGGAAGGTAGCATAGCGGCGGCTCCTCTAGCTAGCCTTCCCCAGCTTGGGATCCCCAGCGCACCGCAGCCGGTCGCTCGCCGGTCCCCGTCCCCGTCGCGCGTCCCGGGCGCTGCCCCCAGTAAGTTGTTGCAGAAGAGTGCGCGGGGGGCCAGAGGGAAAGCGGTGCGACGCGGGCGTCCAGGCCGCGTCCAGCTGCGCGCAGCTGCCCGGAGGCCGCGCGAGCATCCGGGGGTCCTGCGGGCAGGGGCTGCAGCCTCGGACTCTCGTCCTCCCGGCTGCACCCTGGGCTGACACCCTCCTCCTCCTCCTCCTCCTCCTCTTCTTGTCCACCCCCGGGGCCGCTGGTTCACTCGCACACTGCACGATCCCCAGCGGCCACGCGGGTCGTAGAACTTGGGATAGGGCCTGACACTGGGACTCCGCGAGTGTCCATAGTCACTTTAGTTCTGGGGGACCCTCAGTATCTCTCTTTCCGAGAGGACAGCCTGCCTCCACACCCTCCGCACGGAGTGGTCCCCCCGAAGTCGCCTTTCACTCCCTTGGGATTCTTAGTTTAAATTTGGAACAAGGCTTGGATCGCTAGAAGTCTTTTCCTATCCTGCTCTGGATCTGTAAGACAGGTAAAATGACCCACTTGGGGTGGGTTGGGGGGGCGTCTGTATTGATGTTTTAAAGTAAATGGGTGCAGCATTAAGCGCTTGAGTTGGTCTATGTCTTTTATCCTATTTCATGAAGCCTTCAGCCTTGATTGCCTTAAGACCATTGCTTCAGGTTGTAGCTCTGACTCCTCTATTCCGCCTTCTGTTGCCCATATATGCAGTATGCGGTGTAAGGAGACAATCCTGTAGTTATTTCAAAGAAATATGCTCAACAGAAGTTGAACGGTCGTAGATGGCTCTCAAAGTGGAAACTGCCTGCATGCCAGAAGTAAAAGAGTTAATCCGGCTCAAACTTTAAACGCCGTAAAACTGTCTTCAAAGATCTTTAGGTCATGACTCCTTTGGGACTGAAGAATTAGATCCGTGTGGATCCGTTCTTTGCTAGAATGGAACTATCACATTCTAGGGATTGGGCCGTGCAGTTAAGTGTGTCTGGCCTAACACTTCATTCTTTTAAAACTTATTTTTCTTTTCTACCTCCATATTAATATTTATCTTCTCAGTAAAGAGAAACATTTTGTTGTCTCTGGCTAGGGGCTGTACAGGTGGAGAATATCCTATTTTTTATGTTTTTTTGTGCTATTCGATCTTTTTTTTTTCCTTCTAATTGCACCAAAGAAGCATGAAGACATGATACACCAGCTCAAAACATTTTTTTTCCCTTACGCTCAAACGTTGCTAGTTGGCAACTGTCCAGGAGTGAATTGTGGAGGCAGGATGACATGTGTTCGCATTTTCAAGCTTTCTCCTTTGCTCCCGGCTCTCTTTCCCTTTGTCTCTTGATTCGTGAGTGTCATTTCCCTTAAGACATTTTAACTAACTTTTGGGATATGTCCCGACCTTGAGAGCTTCATGGTGTCTGCAGAGATTCAGTTTGCAGAATCCTGACCTTCACTTGCTCAGCAAAACCCTTTTGATTCAGTCTCCAGTTTTTAATCACAAGGCTTAGAGTTGAGAGCCTGGGAAGAGAAATGACAGCTAGGAGGGCAGCATGGTCATTGTGGGCATTTTAAAGGTCTGAGAATTTGTTGAGTTTTTTGCTCTGTATTCCCATATCTCTGGGCTCCTTGAATACACACACGTGTCTGGAGAGCTTTAAAGCTACAAGCCACTCACCTTTGCAAAGGCTTCGCCTCCTCTCCCTCCTAGGTGGCTCAGTGCCAGCCTTTCGTGTTCTTCTCCTACCTTCTAGTTCAAGTCAGTGTTACTTCTTCTGACTTTTAGCCAGGGACCCTCCTCCTAAGTGGTCATTTCTTCTTTTTCCAAATATTCTTCCCTAAAGGTTGTCTTTGGTAACATATCTAACCCAGCTAATGAGTTAATGTTCTCATTTGGTTGCTCCTGGTGTGTGTTTGTGTGTGTGTGTGCGTGGGGGGGGTGTTCAGAGCCATCTCCTGGTTTTATCTCATTGCCATTCAGAGGCAGCTTTCAGAACAGAATTCTGAAAACATCCTCACACTGCTATTTGTTTCATTTTCCCCCAGACATAGTAGGGACATGATCTTGAAGTCTGGTTTCTTAATAGATGACTTCTTGTGTGCCAAATATTTAGAACAAAAGGAAATTTTTCAGTTGAATGTGTTTCTAAGCTTTCGTGTTTCATACTGTGTGCCAGAGGAATGCTTCTCCATACGTCTGAAAGGCCGTGGGAGCTGTACGACCTCATTCTCATTATGTTTATCAAACACCTTAGCAAATTTAAATGTTTAACTACTTCTGAACCATTATGAAAATATCCAGAACTACGTCGATAAAACCTTGAGCAATAATAAAATCCCATGAAACACTTCTCTTTGTGGTTTTCTATTTCAATAATTTGTTGTTCTATTCCCTCACCTAGTGTGACCTAACACCTGCTCACTGTATCTTTTTTGTAAAATAGACGGCAGTGATTCCAACAACTTGAGAAAACATGTTTTGTCTGTCTTCTAATGCTCTCATACTTCCACTGAAAACGTATTGGGTCCCTACAGTATACCAGGCATTGGGTGACCCCAAACTAATGACTGCCATCATGGAGGGATTCTGTAATCATTTTTGCATTTGGAAAACTCTTCCTTGCTGGATTTTAAGAATGGTTTGTTGTTAACTGTATGACAGTAACAAATCTCAACACATGGCTTGGGTGCCGTGTGCACTCAAGCACCAGGATGGCTGCATGTGACATATGAAGAGGGTGCTGCTATTTGGTTATCAAAAGCATGCTTGCTGGGTATTTTTGTTTCACAGATAGCAACAAATTTACGTTGATCTGCTCATACACCCTTTTACTTGTTTTTCTGGCTTTTGTCTTAGAAGTGGTAGCCGTAGTGGTGGAACTGTGAGTGCTACTTTGTAAAAACTAAACCCAGTAAGGATTCATTTCCAGCAGGCGGCAGCCAGTCAAGACAATCCCAGCTTCTTTTATTCACTTTTCTTGTCTGACTCAGTAAATGTAACGGGGGCAGACAGAATACTATTGCTTTTCACATTCTTACAGACACTTTTAGACCACAAGTGTCACTTTCTGAAGACTTCCCCTGCCCAAATGACAACATTCTGACTGGTGAGTATGGTTAGTATCAACTTTAAAAAGCTATCTGAGTTAATGTGGCCTTTTTCTAAGCTTTGACTAGCTTTGAAAGTGTGGGTCGGCCCTGTGGCTTCTCCGTTCTTATTGCACCTTTCAGTTTGGATCTCTGCCCTTACAGAGAGCTGGGCTGCTTCATTGTACTGGGTGGATGTGGATACAATATGTTGTTGGAAACCTTGGGTTTTCTTAACGAAGGGCTTTATTCATCTGCGGCTGGCTCATCAAGCTAGAGGCTGCCATGTATTCTCTTTTGTGCTATATGCTTATCTGCCTGTAAAGGAGCAAAGATAAAGTTTAGATTTGTGGAATAAGCTTAAAAATGAAGAGCATGTTTACACATGCTAGGAGGCTAGAATAGCGCTGTGTGTGCTGGCCCCTCCCTTCAGAGAACTGACCCTGATCAGAGAATCTGCAGCACAGAGAGGGAATACCCCGTGACCTTTCCTCCAGGAATTAATTCCATTTAAGAAATACTTGTTAAACAATATATAACAAGGGAAGCTTATGACCCTTGTTGGGTCTTGTGGGTTGTCTCCACTGATGTGTGGAAAATCCTCTTCTTTCCTGAACTCATGCTGGCTTTGAGACTCTGGTTGTCTTCCCACCATGTCTAATATGGTGCGTCTCGACACTTCTTGGCGGTTCTCGGGCCATGGAGATACCCTTCCAGTGTCCATGTGGTGGGCACAGCATATAGACCTTGATGTCCTGTCACCCAGGGATGCAGAGCAATACCAGAGTCAGGACGCTCACTTTATTCTAGTGCTTTGCTGGGTGGGAGGGATGTTCATAGTTAAAATAATTTGGATCCGTTGTACTTAAAAACAGGCGTTTTCTTTTTTTTTATACCATCAGATAGTAAACCTTAAAACTCACGTGTTATTTGTTTTACTTTTTGTGGGGAGAAAAACGGTGCTTGAGGTGATACCTTGATCATAATTGGGACATAATCGTGAGGATTTCTTGCTTCACCTTGGCAAACAATGATGGTGCTAGTCACTGGTAGAATTAAAAGCTATTTTATATTGAACCAAAAGGAAAAATTAGAGTGTCTTTCCAATTTCAGCAGTATTTGTTTAATATTAATTTGGGACAGACTTTCTAAATGCAATACAATTTAAAAAAAAAACAACAAAACAAAAACAAGAAACAAACTTAAGATACTTGAGCAATGGTATCTAGATGTCACCCACAATGTGTGCTTTACCAGAGCACATGGCTCCTCCGGGTGGTTTCCCCTGCCTTTAATTCCAATTTATAGAAGGTCTGCGTCACACAAAAGCAACTCAATGTGCTTCTGAAGTTGACATGCCAAATTTACCTCTACCACTAGGTAAAACTTGTGCTATTTAATAATGACGTATTAAGCCAGATGACTGAGTGCAATTTCCCAGGTCAGGATTCCCTTAGAATACAGTTTTGCAACTTCCATCCCAAGAATATCCTAGGAGACATTCTGTGTGGAGTTTTCCATAGCTAGAGATTAGTTTATCTATTGCGCATTAATACCTGTTGTACGTGTGTTTGCGTGTGTTTTGTGTGTGTGCGCGCGCGTCCACATTTATGCTTGGCTAATAGTTCACAGAATGTTTTTAATTTGCCTAGCGGTTGTCCTGATATTTAAAAAAAAAAAAAAATCAAGGCTGAGCATGGTGGAGCACCTTCAATTCCCAGCCTGGCATGGGGAAGGCAGAAACAGGCAAATCAAATGAAAAACTCATCCTGATAGTTTGTATCAACTTGGAAATGAATTCCTCTAGGAGGAGCCTGTTTCTGAAGCCTCAGGTGGCTCTGTAAAGCACTGTTGCCTGCTTTATGGACTACTTTCCACTCAAGAAACATTTATTCAGGGGAAGAAAGAAGAACCCGTGGCCACAGCAGCTAGCTCCTCTTCACAGCAGTGGCCTGTGACATGTCTGATGAGACTTACAGATATTTTGTGATAAGTTTTTCTCTACCCATCCCACCCAGTTCCTTTCTCCATAAAAATGAATGCTGATCCCTGACCATCTTGTATGAGATTTCTGGACATTCAGAGTCTCTGCTTCCACCCAGTAGACAGCTAGAGTTTCTACAAATTGGGATAAGAATCCCACAATACAGAAGCCACTCTTGATGGCTTGGGGAAGTGCCTGGAGAGATTCTGTTGAGTCTGCATGGAGCAATCTTGGTCATGCATTCTGTCTTCCTTGATGCTTTAAGATGACCTACAGATTCCAAGGTGGGCAATAGCGCTTGGGGACTCACTGTGAGATCAACTGGTGAAAAGATAAGGTTTTTCCATCCCCTGTAATTAATGTGATCATTAAAGCAGAGGGGACTATACTGAGTAGCCTGGAGTTTGGGAACAGATTTTTACCCGGGAGAAGTCATATCTAACTTGATACAA